TCATTATTGATGTTTCTGTCTCTCTCTTCCTCTCCCTCCTTCCCTCTCTGAAATCAATAAAAATATATCTTAAAAATAAAAACAGCAGAGGCCATTACACTGGACAAGCGAATGCGTTAATGCTGAAAAAGAAAGCTGTTTATAAACACGGCAACTCTCGCACTGGGCAGCCGAGCTGTCGCCTTCGCACCAGCGGGGAGGCAGAAGCACCAGCACCAGCCCTGGGAGTTGGTTCTGAGTTGGTATTTGTTGAAATTGTTTCAGCATGTGTGTCTGGCTTCCTGTCGCAGGCATCGACGGGACGCTCAGAGCGCGAGGAAAGTGTGAGCCAGCGAGGGAGGCAGAGCACACAGGGCGTCTGCCAAGCCGCTCGCGTTTTCCTTCGCACTCTGTACAGTTGTCCCGAAGAAAAAGAGCTGCTTCCAAAAATAAAACAAAATATTATAAAAAGCTTCACAATCAGATGCTTTGGAACAAATGATGGGTTTACATGTGCAAATACATTTCTAAAACAAATGCCCAACTGTGTGTGCACATGTGTGTCTGTGTGCGTGTGTGTGCATGGCATGCGGGCCTCCTGCTGGGACCCTGTGCCCCTCCCCCACATTTCCTCCCACATCCCCTCCACCAACTCCCCTCTCTCCCCTCTGTGCTCCCGCCTTGCCTTGACTGGTGGCCCTGCGGGCAGAGACTGAAATCATGGTGTTCAGCTTATTAAAAGGCTTTCATTGAGCTCAGAATAATTAAATTTGTCTTTAAAAGCATCTAACTTGATTGAGCGAACAAGTTTAAAACCGGATTGTTTTAGATCCATGGTGTTCGGCTTCTCCGGCCTGCTCTTCACAGGGGTGGCCAGCGGAGCCACCAAAGCGGAGCCATTTGGCTGGTGCTGTGGCTATCTGATCCAGATTCAAATCCCGCCCCTCTGAAACCGCCACCAGCACTCACCCCGGGCCACAACCCCGGGGACTCCTCTCTCTTATCATGTGTTTCCCCATTGCCTTCATTTTCCCTTCTGGGCGTGACAGTCTTAGCACCTCTGGCTTCCAGACGCCTTTGAAAATGTTTGAGCTGCAAAATACAGGGGCAGGGGAAGCATCGCACATTCGGGAGCCATACGTGTTTAACTAAAAGCCTAGAAAACCTAACATGTCAAGCTCACTAATTGTTCCATTTAATCATCATAAAAAAATTTCATTACACTTAATTGTTTGAAACAAATTTACAAGTGAAGTCGCCCCACTTTGAGAGAATTCCCAAGACTCCTGGACACTCGGTGAAGGATTTGTGGCCAATTGTAATTAAATGAGTTTCCTGTAGGCAAATAATTTTGGAAATGAAATTATTTTTAGAAATCATCTACACTAATAAAAGAGAAACATGCAAACTGGTGTCACTCTGCTATGCCCACCAGCCAATCAGGATGAGTATGAGTATGCAAATCAGCTCAACATATCCAGGCACGGAGCAAAGACTGAAGGCTCCGGCCGGACTGAAGACGACTGAAGAGGCTTGCCTTCTCCACTGCGGCCAGAGCGAAGGCCTGGGTCCCGGGTGCCGGAGGAAAACTGGTGCCGGCAGCCAGGGGAAGGAAGGCCTAGTGCGTGAATCTCTTCGTGCAATGGGCCTCTAGTTTGAATATAAAAATGAAAGTTAGATGTGAGTTTATTCCAGTATATTTGCTGACTTTCCGAAAAGAGTTGGTGGGAGAGGAAAGGGCCCAAGCAGCCCAGTGCTGGCCACACCCCTCTCCCTTGCCCACTTTCAGCCCCAGGACACCTTTCCAAATCCCCATCTCCCCTGGGGTGAAAATCCTCCAGTTCTCCTTCCTTTGTCCCTGGGAAAAATCTCAAGTTATACTACCACCGTTAATTCCCAGCCCTGCCCAGCTCCCTAACTCAGTACCACCTGCCTATCCACCGCTGCTGAGAGTTGGGGATGGGAGGACCCGGGACTCAACCTAAACCACCTGTCAATCCCTGGACTGGGCAATGTGGCCTCTTCTGCCGCCAGAGTGGGAAGCAGAACCAGGAACCAGTGAGGGGCCTTTCTCTGCTCCCCCTTCCCCAGGCAGGCCCCAAGGTGTGGCCTGGGATTAAGAAGGCACAGAAATCATTTGGTGAATGACCTACTGAATAAATGGGACTGCTCCGTCACCTGAGAGGGGGACAGCTGCAGATCCTATAATGATGACATAACCAGCTCCTGTGTAATGAGCACATGCTACGTGCTCAGTGCTCCGCTAGCACCTTTAGGCCATGATCTCATTGAACAACAATCCCACAACTGAGGCTCAGAATGAGTGGTGGCTTGCTCCGGGCACAGAGCTAAAAGGTGGGGGTGCCAGGACCAGAGCCCCAGGTTTGCCTGACTTTAGGGACATGGGTGACCAAGCTCCGTCTTGAAGGGCAGCAATCAGAGCCTTTGACGCAGCAGCTTTGCTTGGTCTAGGTTTCTCTCCCTCCTCCTCTACCTCCTGGGACCTTGTGCAATCTCCTCTGGCCACCTCCAGCTCTCTGACCTTTGCCCTTGACCAAAGACATGTCATTTCCCTCACTGGGTGCCTTCTGACCCTCGAGATGAATGCACAGGGGAAATGTGAAGATAACATCCAGGCTGCCTGGGAGAAAGGAGACTGGGTTTCAACATGATGTGCGGTAAACATATCTCTTCAAAAAGAGAGCGAGGGAGACATCTAAAGATTCGAGATCAGTAACGTGTCATCAGCATCTGGTTTGGGCAGAGAGTTCCTAACAGTTTCTAGAAAAACACAAGCCATAGAAAACAAGTCTGCTTTTCAGGGCAAAAGGAGGTTTGGGATCCAGCAGTCAGTGGTGCCATCTGGGATTTCCTGTGGCCTTTGAGGCCCTTCCTAGGGAGGTAAGGGGGAACTGGTGTCCCTGTCTCCCTTCCTCTCCCCTTTTGCCTTCCACCCTGGGCGGCAGGCTCTGAGAGTGTGGAAACTGCCCTTGAACTCAGACCTATCGCTAAATAGGCCCCACGAATGGCCACACCTAAAGGCACAGAGGAGGTACCTTCGCTCCTTCCACGGAGAACACCTGAGCCTCTCAATGGAAGGGATAGCTAGGTGTCCTCCAATATCTGTTGTCCCGTATTTTAAGTACTAGAAGCCCCAATTTTAGCTGGGTGCATTGCGGCCCAGCATAAAAACCATTTCCCCCCAGCCTCCCTTGCCGGGACACGAACTGAATGGGATGTGAGTGGAATATTTGCAACTTGCAAGTGTTCTTCAAAGAGAGATACATGCCCTTCTTCCCCTTCCTTCTTCCTGCTGGAAGGAATGCAGATGTGATGGCTGGAGCTTAAGCAGCCATTCTAGAACTCAAGGCCAATCTTGGAATGGAGGCCACAATGGCAGAGCAACAAGATAGAAGGGGCCTGGGTCCTAACCTCATGATGTGCCACACCAAACCTGGACCACCCACCTATCAGACTGTTTGAGGAGAAAAAAAGAAAGAAGGGTCTGGATGGTGTAAGCCACTGATATTTCGGTTAAAGACCATCTTTAAAGTCAAAATTACCTTGAAAATCTCTTAAACTGAGAAGAGAAATAGAAGATAATCCAAATCTTCAAAAGTGAGAATCCTGCTCAGTGTGGCGAGACACTACAGCAGGTTCATGGCTCCCATGAATTCTAGACGTGCTGTGCAATGCTAGGGAAGTTGGAACCCACCCATGTTCAACTGTTTCTCTCTCTCTTTCTCTCTCTCTCTCTCTCTCTCTCTCTCTCTCTCTCTCGCCTTTTTTTTTCTTTTGCCCAAAGTTATATGGTAGAGATGCACCCAGCACATTTTCTAACTTGTGAGAACCTACCGAGTATCACATAGACATGCTTCTTCTTTATCATCTCTGTTTTACAGTTGAAGAAACCAAGGCTCAGAGCGGTCCTGACCCACAGCGAGAAGCAGGGCCTGCCCTGGGGAAGAAGGCGAGACAGGGCCCTTGTCCAGGCGGCACCTCTCAGGCGCTGGCCTTTCCCAGGGGCTCCTGCCGCAGGGTCCGGGACCACTCAGAGAGCCAGGGCGGAGGCCACACGTGGCTTCGGGATGGGGCAGTGGGGACAGGAAGGGCCATCCAAACACTGCCCGGTGGCCAGCCGTCGCCACCGAAACACAAGTAGTCCTTCCAGAAGCCAACTGGACCCTCAGGAGGAAGCTCGCCCTCAGCCTGGCCTGCAAGCCCCAGAGGCCAGGCACCTGGGTCAAGGCCTGGGCTTGCTGCTTGCACCCAGAGGAGGAGAGGACGGGCCAGATGGACGCAGGTTTCCCCGGGGAGATGATGGGTGGGAGGTCCCCCCTCAATCGGAGGGGCCAGGGGGAGGTGGGCCAGCGCCCGGGTTGGTGAGCGGGCGCCACCTGGTGGCCGGTCCCGGCACGGCGCCTCCCAGCATCCACCGGGGCTCACCCATAGCCCTTTCCACAATCTTCCTCCACACCCGCAACCACCCTGCCTTTAAGGTTAACCTCGTCAGTGCGTATAGAGATACGGGTTTCTTCGGATTTACACAAAAGGGAAACAAAAGCACGCTTGTGGTTTCCTGGTTTTATGGCGTGGTCTCACTTTCCACCACTGCACCCTGCCAATGACATCACGGGGGGGTGGGGGGGGGACTCTCGGCCCGCCCCGGAGGTTGGAGTGAGCCGATCTGCTGTGGACTGGGTGGGCACCAGGACCTCTGCTTGCTCTGCAAAGGCCGCCTCTGGGCGAGCCCGGGACCCGCTCGCTCGCTGCTGTCGCTGTTGTTCTGCACTTCGGCGTTTGCAGAACAGCTGCCCGGTGAGTGTGCCCCGAGGGAGCGGGGCTGTCCCTAGCCCGCCCAGGCTCTGCGCTGGGACCTGGGGCCCAGGGACTTCCTGGGCTGCGTTCTTGATCCTCGTGACTGCCTCACACAGCGCCCTGCATTTCTGGAGGCCTGTTTCCCCTCTATTACCTGAAAGAGAACATGGCTCCGGACGGCTTGGGGATCACCCAGGAAAGCGATGGGTGTTTTGCCTGACACATGCGGGCACCCAGTGGTGCTCATGACTGTGACTGGAAGTAAGCGGAGACAGACAGCTTAAATAACGTGCCCACGGTCACAGAGCCAGTACATGTGGGGAGGGGCTGGGTTAGGGCCCAAGCATGTCTGTGGCCTTGAACAAGTGACCTCACTAAGAGAAGAGGCCAGTGCTAGTCCCCACCCTGTAGGTGAGTAGAGGGCCCATGAGATTTGACAGCACACGGTAGGTGCTCATTAACGAGAGTTGTCATTTTGAAGTGCACACGATCATGGGTACCCAGGGTCCTAGCCTCTGGGGGGAGGGGGGTGGACATCAGTGGGCACCTGGAAGTTACTCAGCTCTACCCTCCAGCATCTAGTCCACTTCCTCTTACTCATCGATTCTGCTTTCAATTTTGTTTCTTCCGAAAGCCACACACAGAAGTTTCGTTTTCTTTTTCTCCACAATGCTGATCAGTCCCGGCTTTCTAGGCCTGTTTCCGGGGTGTAAACAGCTGGTGCCTGCCCGTGAAGCCAGCCTCCCGTCACAGCTGCCAGAAGCCCCAGCCTCGGCCACACAGGGACACCAGCCTCGACCAGCCTGCCTTCTCAGGGCCCCCAAGTCTCCCCGGGCTCCTAGCCGCTGCTGTCAGCATGGCCTAGGCGTCTGCAGACATCGATGAGACAGGTACTAGCACTCCCTCCCAAGGGATGGTGGGGGGCTGGGGGGACTGATTACAGCAATGGTAGCGACCATACCCAGGAGCACACAGGGCCCAGGAAGAGGAGTGTGTGGGCTGGGCTGGAGGCTGGCTCCGCCCACGGTACCTGGCCACACGCCCCAGGCATTTCGCAATCACCTCAGTGGTGAGCACTGCCCTGTTCCCATTTCACACCTGAGACCACCAAGGCCCTGAAAGGCAAACACCTCAGGGCCTCCGGCCAATGCTGGGGGCTGAGCGCCCTCTTTAGACTCATTTTGAGAAGCAGCACAAGCCGCTTTGATAAGAGACACATTCCCCCTCTGCCCTCTCCCTCTGAGAGCTTCACTCCCAAGGCCCCAGCAGAGGGGCCGCACTGAGCAATCACTGGGTTCTAGGGTGCCCATGAGGGCTGCCGGCTGTGGGCTGGAGGCTGTGGGCTGGGGGCTGTGGGCTGGGGGTTGGGGGCT